TATTTATAAAAGTGATTGTTAAGAGATAGTATTTTTGAGTTAAGATTTTTGTGTGATTAATGGTATGCTCTTAACATGTGGTTCTTAGAAAAAAAAATATTAATATAAAAATACAATTTATAATTATAGAAAATTTATTAATTGTTGCAAATTAAAAAAAATTAAAACATACATGAGATACAATTTATAACATAAATAACATAAACCACAAATGTTTTAAACTTGATTTCTGGAATATTTTTGTCCATATATGCATAGCTCGATCACGAAGTCGAATTCTTAGTGGCCATCATATCGACGAGATTTGAAGGCATTTCTATAGAATTTTTGGATTAAGTAGCAAGATCAATTTTTGGATGAGTATAAACGTGTGTGGTATGAGTTTGTGAGAACAAGTGAATAAGTGACAAGAGTCAAAATCTATTAAAAGAGTTTTTGGAATCCCAAACAACATCCAAAAGTTGGGATCAAAGCTCACAATTAACAGATTTCAACAAAATCGAAATCCCTAGTGATTTTGATTTTAAACCAATCTAAACTCTTGATCACATATAAACATAAAAGTCATCTTCAAGGTCCAAAAACCTCGATTTTACATATGCTAGATCGTCTTTGTGCTTCCCGCTCTTGTCGCTTATTCTCTTTCTTCTTTGATGCTCAGGATTGGGATCCACCAGCTTCATCTTCATCTTCATCTTCACTTCCACTGATGTTTTCTGCTTCACATATACCCAAAGAATATTCGAAGGCCAATAGTTCACTTAACTCCAAGACCTCTCTAATCTTAAACTACATTCATAGCAAGATACATGACAAATGAAACAAAAAAAGTTATGGACTATTCTTGAATAAATGGTTTCGAGTTTAGACCTGCAGCAGAAGCTAGTAAGAGCAATGAAATCTTCAAAACAAAACATTAAAATAGAATGGCTGAAAAATTAGCCAGAAAACAATGTAGGAGAAAATACAACATATTATTGAAGACTCACTAATCTGACCAACAAAACTCATCTTCCGAGTAAGTCTATGATTAAAAGTAATTCTAATCATTCATTATAGCAACCAAAACACATTCAGGTCAAGTGAAGAGAGGTCAAAGCAGCTATACATTCATACTAGTAATTGACATAGCCTTGGATTAGTGTGACCGCTCAATTATAACTATAAATCTGCAAACTTTCTTATTCAATTTAGCAATAGAAGATGATCAATTATGAACTAACCCTAATCCAGAACAAAATTAGAAAACAGAGTAATCAAATCCAATAACTCAATCCACCACTATCCAATGAAAGTCAAAACAAATCCAAATCTCAGAGAGAGAGACAATACATATCCGTAGAGAAACCTAGAAGCGAAAGGAGCAGTGGATGCATCAGAAAGTGCAGCGGTGGAGATGATGAACTAACACCGGAACGACGGCGATACCTCCGATTTGAGTCTCTGGTTTTCATTCTCTCGATGAAATCGCGCGAGAGAGAGAGAGACAGAACGCGAAAAAGACTTTTAAAAAAAAGCTCTTTTTTCCTTTCTCTTCATTTACCACGCTCCAGTCTTTTCTCGACACATGTCCGCCTCTTAGATGGAAAAATGTTCCTTAGCTAAGGAACGTTTGTTAGTGTTAAAGGAGTATATGCATTAAATTTAATCAGTTTTATCCTAAGATTTCTCTAAGATTTACCTAACATCCTGCCTATAATCATGCTCTAATATTTCATTGAATATATCTTTATAAGTTGTGTTTCTCTCTATGATATTCACTATTCAGAAAATAAAATAAAATAGTACAAATCTACTATCACTTTTTTCCTACTGTATATTAATTATAATGTGAGAGGAAAAAAAAAATATTAGTTATAATGTGGTTTACGTGACTGGTTTATTGCAGGTAAGGATCAAAAACGGATAATTGAAATATATTATCCGAAGTATATATATCAGATTCAGTTAAGTTTTAACTGAAAGCACTTCTCCAAATGTCACTAACTTAGATTTTGAAAAATATGTGTTAGACTCGAATTCAGTTCAGATAGTTTTGTATAGAAAGATTTTTTTTTTTAATAACTTATAACATTAGAGATTTAAAATCTTAATCGAGTAAGATACAAACCTTAATTCTAAGAATCATAATTTAAAAATACCATATCCAATAACACCAAACTTTAAATTTATAAGTAGTGATCAAATAACAATGAATTGTAATAAAATTTAGATAAGAAAATGAATTGAACACAAGATACAAAATACATGAGACTGGATAAATCTGAATCCAAAAGTTAGGTTTAGGCCCAACAGCCCAATATTCAGATGGGCATATATCTTTCGATAGGTTCGTTGGCCCTATTGGTGTAATATTACATTAGCCTTTAATACACACATATGTTGGACATTTGGTTGTGATTAGTCTCCTCGGATTCAAGACGAACGAGAGCCGGCCATGAATATGTTTTGCCCTATAAATTATTTGACTAATCGTTCTGAAATTTGAAGCATCCATCTTCTATTCATTCGTATTTTAACTCAATAACCAACATAGCCACTGACTTTTAATTCTAAATATCTAGTTTGTTTGTAGTCAAAACTGACTCTGGAACGAACCACGCTACTAATAATATCTATAGAAAAACATAAATCATCCTTCAACTAGTAGAGTTAACCATGTTTGGATATAATGTTATTCTTAAGGAAATATATATAATAACTTTGTAAAGTTTATAGAAGAAATATACATTACAAAATATAGAGCTACAATGGTTAAAAGATTAAAGATTTAAAATGAGTGTGAAGCAGACGCGCAAGTGACACTCACTTAACAGTATTAAGCATTTACTCCAACAAAATTGATTGGGCTGTTGTCCCGACCCCGCCATATCTGCTCTCTATAACTTATACTGTCATACATAAATACATAATTACTCCAACGTAACATACATAATTATATTACTATATTTATTTATTTTTGTCTTTTTAGAAGAAATGCACGATATCTTTCTCTAAAAAATAATATTTGTCTCTTTCAATAGAAAAAAAAAAACTAACATAAAGGAATAACACTTAAAATTAACATAAACAGAAAATAAATTTGTGATTTTTTAAAAACGTCGTAACCTTTTTTTTTTCTTTTTTTTTTTTTTTTAAACGTCGTAACCTTATTACTAAAACATTCATGTTTCAATTTTTTTATCTTAAAAATAAACATATGAGACGTTCATGCTCGTACGTCACATTTTTTTAATAAGTATTTTCGTATACTACGTACTACAGTCTACGATATATATATAGTTCATAGTTGTTACGTTTTATCTTCAATCGAACACGGATCTATGCTTGCGATCACTCAACAACTCTTGAAAGAAACTCAAATCAGCTCAAGAATAAAATCGAAAGCAAGAACATAAAGAACAACAACACTCAAGATTTGTTTACCCAGTTCAATAAGATCGGTATGATCAAGTCTACGTATCGGCCGAATCAACTCGGCAATCCACTATATCAAGGCAATGTATACAAATCAGGGCAGAGCTCTTAACAATGGATTTTTCTTCTTATAAAGAAATCAGAATCGACTAAGGAAAAAGAAAGATGTATGTGACTAGGCCAGACCCACCCATAAAGCAGCAAAAACATTTGCTTTAGGCCACAAAATATAAAAAAGTTTTTAGGGCGACATTATTAAGACACTTGCTTAGTCTTGGTGATTATGTATTTTGTAAATTAGAATCAAGTCCCGAGTTCGAACCACTACTTTTATAGATTTTTTTCGTTTTTATACTTTTTTCGTTTTGTAATTTGGTTATGAGTACTATAATATTTTTTTCAGAAATCTTTCACGAAAAACTCGCCTTCGATCGTTTCACGAAAAAAAATTATATAAATATTTATATTATTTATATATCATTTAGACCACAAAAATCCGAAGACCGGCCATGTATGTTAGTATTTATACCAATAGTCATTAAAACAGCAAACCCTCTCTCGCGAAAAGAGGATCTCCTTTTGCTTCTTCAATTCATGGTTCACCAAGCTCCATTAAACTGGATACCAATTCTTCTTAACCAAATGATTAAACCAATCCTAAGATTGAATCAGAACTTCATATCACAATAATAGTAAATATGTTCGATCATTAATTCTAACATATGTAGCTTTTCTTCAGATGTTATGTTATAAGTTTTTCTTCAAATGGTCCATTGTTTCTTCATAGCATGGGGGTAACCCTAAAAGTGAGCGAAGATGAATGTACAGTGAAAAAATGTTACCCCCACGCAAATCCCACGTGATATTCACAGCTAGTTTAATAAAAAGGTCACGTGCTTAAAATTCACCCAATCCAAAAACCCACTAAAATCATTTTCACGAGGATAATAAAATATAACGGGCTCCACCATTTTTTTTTTTTAACTTTTATTGTTCTTGTCTCATATTGTTTGATGATTTTAAAATTCTTATGTAAATACTACAAATATTTCTTGTTGATACCAAAGAAAAAAAATTAGCAGATTAAAGTATGGTCATATTTATTTTATGTGATTACTAATGTTAATTTCCTATTTTCTAATAATTAAACTCATGTATAAAACATCAAATTGAAGCTCATAATAATTAATCATGTATTTTCTAAGTTTCCTTTTTAAGGTCATAAAATTTTCTAAGTTTCCTTTTTAATGTCAATAATTTTCTAAATTTGTTCAAAAGAATATTACATGCAGTTCTAGGAGTTTTTGTGACGATATATAAATTTGTAACAAATCGTTTTTTTTCCACTTCAACAAAATAGTAGGATTTATAATTTTAAATCTCTATCAGTTACAAATTTTTAACGATTATAAACAGCTAATATATAAAAAGGACGTTTAAATATCTGCCAGATGGCATTGACACAACTAAAAGTTGATAATTAGTATGTCTTACGCGCGTTCGTTTCGTTGTGGGTCTCACCAAGCAACGCCTATATACTCTCTTCTCACTTCACTATTCTACTTCACTTCCATTAAAACAGAGCAACGTCAAGCAACACACTAAAGCTTCATTTCAATTCTATTTCGAAGAGCACCCATTCAGGTATTTTCAGCTTTTCTTCATGTACATTTGACGATTATCAAGTGACGTCTCTGATATTTCTAATCCTCTGTTTTTTTGGGAATTTTACTCTGTTTATAACTATATTTCAAACTCAACAAAATCTTGAAATTGTAAGAATTTAAGTAGGATAATACTTGAAAATTCAGTTTTTTTAACAGATTTATGATTCTGTATCCGTCGAAATTTCAATTTTTTTTTTTCTGTTTTTTCTGTTTTGGCTTGATTTTATATGAATTTTACTCTGTTTTTCCACTATATTTCAAACTCAAGTAAAGCTTGAATTCAGTTTGATTTTGAGAACCCAATACGATAATTTGTGGGGATGTTAAGTTTTTAACAGATTTTTAATACGTAAACCGTCGAAAATTTTGATCTTTTTGTTTTTAGTTTTACTTAACATTTTACTCTGTTTTCATCTGAACCAGATCGGATATGGAAAACGACGACATCACCGTGGCGGAGATGAAGCCAAAGAAGCGTGCTGGACGGAAGATTTTCAAGGAGACACGTCACCCAATCTACAGAGGTGTGCGGCGTAGGAACGGCGACAAATGGGTCTGCGAAGTCCGTGAACCGATTCATCAGCGCCGAGTTTGGCTCGGAACTTATCCGACGGCGGAGATGGCGGCACGTGCTCACGACGTGGCGGTTCTTGCTCTGCGCGGGAGATCCGCGTGTTTGAATTTTTCTGATTCCGCTTGGCGGTTGCCGGTGCCGGAATCAACTGATCCAGACACGATCCGGCGTACCGCGGCCGAAGCAGCGGAGATGTTCAGGCCGCCGGAGTTTAGTACTGGAATTACGGTTTTACCCTCAGCCAGTGAGTTTGACACGTCGGATGAGGGAGTCGCCGGAATGATGATGAGGCTCGCGGAGGAGCCGTTGATGTCGCCGCCAAGATCGTACATTGATATGAATACGAATATGTACGTGGGAGAAGAAATGTATTACGAAGACTTGTCACTTTGGAGTTACTAAAATACGTGTTTTTAGATACGTATGTCATGTGTAATGTATGTATGTGTGGTAAGTAAGTTAGTATTTTATGAAAAAACCCAAAAAAAAAAAAAAAGGTTAGTATTTATGCCATTTATAAAAAACCAAAATAAAAAGTTAGTATTTATGTTCGTGTGGTAAGTAAAGTTAGATTTTCCGAAGATTTATAGATCCACTGTTGGAAATAGAAGATTCTAAGAAGTAATAATTTTGTGCAAAACATTTTTTTTTTTTTTTTTTGTCATCCGAAATTAATTAAAACTCAAAAGACCCATTCCTGAGGAATGTTGTTTACATACGTGATATGAATCGGTTATGTACGAATTTTTCGTGCCAGATTATCCGCAAAAGATTCTTGGAATCTTTAGTTTATTGTGTGTGTGTGTTTTTTTTTTCTTGAAAGGCAAGTAGGTTTGCTTTGCTTTATATTTGCATAATAAATGGGCATAATGATGGGCTTAAATATGATAGGTCCAACCTATAATGTTAAATGTGTTTTTTGGTTTACCTAGTTTCCTAGGTATTTACTAAAAATGTATCAATTAGTATGTAATGTGTAGAAGTTTTATAAAGAAATAATCTAAAATATTGTTGTCAATAAATTAAACTAAACGTATTTTATATAATTTTAAACATAAGAAATAAAGATAATATAAAAGCGGATAATCTAGCACGAAAAATTCGTATAGAACCGTTTCATTTCACATATGTAAACAACATTCCTCAGGAATGACTCTTTTGAGCTCTAATTAATTTCGGATGACAAAAAAAAATAGAAAATAAAGATAATATTAACTGCATTTTAACCCAAACCTGAGACAAAAACACATAAAAAAAAAAAAAAAAAACTTTGAAACCTTCTCAACATGAGAAAAAACAACCTCTCAAGTAACATCTTTGGTTCAGATTCCATTAGAAGATTTCATTTTTGTTCTATGGGTGGGTGTGTGTAGCGAGGAGAACACACAATGATGGGCGTTTTTTATAACCTCATTTGGATGTTGGACTACAGCATAATAAAAGATGGTCTAAATTTAAAGGCCCATAATTTTAAAAGACTGTTTTTTTTTTCTCAATCAAGAAACCGATGTATTTTTGTTTTGTTTTCTTGTTTTCGTTTCTTAATTACCGAGAAAATATGTATTCTCCATCTCTGTCTCTTCCATCGGGTTTCTTCTGATTGTTTGTTTGCTATTTTCAGCTTTCCTGAGCTGTGTTGGAGAATTCAATGTTTTTTCAGATAAATAAAATGGCAAATCCGAAAATAAAACTTAAATAAATAATAAAGCTGTTTTATTACCAGACAAAAATGATGTATATATAATGTTGACCAGAGTGTACTATACGTCTATACTATGTTCACTTCACACAAACAAGACGTATCGTACTATCGTGTTGAGATCCATTTTTTAAAAAAATTATTAGATTATAAAATCCATCATTTTGTACCAAAACAAAAATAAAATCATAATTTTTTTATAACCGGAAAAGTCTTAGGATTTAATACACGCAAACTAATCCTAAAATCTACAAAAAACGACTTTTTTTACTAGTAGCTATAAAGTTTAAGGTCAATAGATCATGCAGTAAAATCATATCACCATGAGTCGGACTATAATCATGTAGTAAAATCATATATCATGTGATTTTTTTTGTTAGATAATCTTCTGAGTATATTTTATTTGTAATAATCGGAAAAAGAATCCCATACTAGTTTCTATAACATGCGAGGTCTCATTCTCAATTCAAAAGTGAAATGTTTTTTATTTTCCCTTCCTCTTTGCCAGTGACTATGATCCAATGGTCACAAATGGATCATTACACTAAAGACAAACGTGGTCTTATTATATATAGATTATAGAGCTTGGTAAAATTTAAGTATTCGACTGACGATATGATCTCTTTTATTAAATATAACTTTCACGGAAAATCCATTTGCAGAAAGCTTATCCCTATAAAGCGACTTTTAAAATATTAGCTTTCCATGAATATAAAAACTTTAATCTTCGACAAAAAAAAAAACTTTAATCTTTTTTTTTGCCTTTTTATTAAGATTTCATATATGTAAAGACAGACATACGGTGGAAGCCCCTTTGGCTCATTGGTTGACTAAGGGTTAATTAATGTTTTTATACCAAGAGGTCTGGGGTTCGAGTCCCAGATATTGTAATTTATTAATTTGCAGATTAATGGAGGCAAGTATGCAGAAGAACTCCAACGATGTACAATTATAGATGTTCGCCAAGATTCTACGCAGAGAGAGAAATATCGTCAGATCGTGGATCATTGAAGGGTGTCCGTCAAGAGCATGAAGAAGGAAGTGTCGTCTATCGTGGATCTAATAAGGGTCGGAAAAAATTGTCCGTTATAAAATCGTTTATGTAACCGTTTTCAAAATTTGCAATAAATAATAAATATAGAGAAAAAAAAAAAAAGGCAGACATATGACCATGTAAGTTTTCTCCCTTCACGCAACCACGTTGTGACTTGTGAGTAACCAACTTAAAAAATAATGATATTTTTAAGGGATTTGCCCTTAAATTAAGTGGACTAGATTGTTAAATTTGGGCTAATTGTGGGCTTCCAACTAAAAACCAATTGGCAATTAATGGATTGACCATAACCTTTTATATATTATTGATTGTCCCATCAAACTTCCGATGTGGGACTTGGATTGTATCTCCAACAATCTCCCCTTCAATCCAATGACCACATGGATCTTAACACACCTCCTCGATCCCTCACTCGGACCGATAATAAGCCCCTTTCTCGGGCCCCCATTATTCGGGTTTGAGGTATGTCCGTATCCACTTTTCTAGGTCCACCAGAATTTGAACCTTGGGCTCTGATACCATGTTAAATTTGGGCTAATTCTGGGCTTCCAACTAAAAACCAATTGGCAATTAGTGGATTAGCCCTAACCTTTTATATATTATTGATTGTCCCATCAAACTTCCGATGTGGGACTTGGATTGTATCTCCAACATAGATAAACTAATCGAAATAAGTGTGTTGCGATATTAGAAATCCGATCCTCTTCAAGTCCTCCTCATAATATAAAATCATTTTTTAGTACTATACTATATGGTTTCTTTCAAGTAATAGAAATAGTGTAATACTATATTTAAATCTTTATAATTAGTGAAAAGAAACTTCTTTTGTTATTCATTTCCCATCGGCCGACCCAATTATTAAACCGAAGTTCTTTTTTTGTGCGGCGATTTGGGGAAACCGTAAAAGCAATCCTTTTAGTTTTATGTATCGTAGGACCATGCATGAAGTTAACTTTTATTGCCAAGGGCACGACCCGATTGGTTGTTTTTTATCAGAGGATTGGCAACAAGTTACAAACAACAAACACTGTATTTATTAGACGTTTTAAGTTCCCATTTCTTTTGACGTCACCAGGGTTGGGCAAATTAAAATAACCGAAACCCAAAATACCGAACGGAACTAAACCAAAACCTATGGTTTGGTTTGGTCATTTTTTAGCATAAAAATCTGTTTGGTTGTAAATTTTGGATCTTATTGGTAACATTGCATAATCACCTAATCACATAATAACATTAGTTGCAGAATAAAATTCGCAAAATGAAAACTTGCAGAATGAAAAATAGCAAAATGAAATTACATTAAAAACATGTTGATTGGATACATTTTTCGAAATGGTAGAATATAATATTATATTACCAATATATAGTTATATTTAATAAACAAAATACTATTTTTAATAAATTTAAAGTAATATTTTATAATAAAATATATAAATATTAAATATTGTTAAAATTTGTGAAATTTTTAAATATTATTTGAAAAATGATATAAGTTTCATAGTAAACAATTATTTTCTTACTTTTTAATTGCTAATATTCTAATAAAAATTCATTATGCAAATAAACAACTATAAACCCACTTATTTGCATAATGAGTTTTTACTTCTGTTTTTAGGCGAAAACGCAAATCCTGCGTTTTTTGCGTTTTCTAATGCGATTATGCAAATTTTCTTGATTAGCAATTTTTTTGCATAATCACATTAGAAAACGCCATTCTGCCATTATGCGGTTACCAACCGGAGCCTTTATCAAGTTCTCGGTTTAGGTATGGTTCAGTTAAAACCGTAAAACCGAATGGTTTATTGGTTTTTGATTAAAATTAAAAATAATTATATATAAAAGTATTGTTCAGTTTATATTGTGATTAATAGTAGTATCATTAAAAAAAGTCTTTATTGAGCTTATAATTATTGACTTGTTAGTAATTTAGAAACCAAAAATTTAGGAATAAAAAGGAAATCTATTGAATTACAAAACCCTCACCTAAACTTATCAACATTACTTATAATTATGCATCAAAATTATATTTTTTTTTGTAAAAACATGAAATAACCGGAAAAACCGGAACCAAATCGAACCGGAATACTTATGGTTTTTATATGGTTTCAATTTTTAGAAAATTTAGAAAAACCGTAAAAAGCTAACCATAACCAAACCGAATTACCACTACAAAAAGAGTCAGTTGCATCAATTAATTTGTGTCAAAAAATTAAATGATATTAATTTGAGTTATTTATTATACAATTGATACAAAAATTATAATTTAACATCACTTGCAATAATTGATGCCATTGTTGATATATATGACATCATTTCATTTAAACTGATGCAAATCTAGATCTATTTGCATTACTTTCACAATATTGATACAAATTAAACATATGAATTTACATCATTTAGAAAATATTATAAAATTTAAATCAATAACAGTCGATGCTAATTCAAGAATGATCATAAGTCGTAAAAAGCAATGTAATTGATCACTTAATTTGTCAACATCCCACATTGCTCTCACTAAAAAAAGAAGTTTCATACTTTTCTTATATATGGTGACCTTGGTTTTTATGGTGTCAACAAAGTGTATAGTTTAATAAGAAGTAATTGTAATCTCAAATAGATATAATCATTTGCTTTCATATTGGTTAATAAAATAAAATAAATTTGTTTGTTAAAAGATTATTTAATATGATTTTATAAAATTTTAACATCAATTATTTATAAGACACTTAACATCACTTATTATTACCGTAGCAAATATTTACATCATTTTGATAAATTGATGCAAATTCTAACATCATTTTTGCAACTAATGCATATTAACATCGATA